CACTTTGTGCCATCTTGTATGTATCGGAATGTACATTGCTTGTTGATGCTACGCTGACCTTGCATTGTCCATTTCAGTCCTTTTCATCACATTGCGGATCCTCGGCTCCCTACGCATTGTCCCATTGGGCATGCGTCACGTGTGAACTCATTTGAATGTTCATTGATGTATGCGAAGTTGAACTTGACGAGTACTTGGCTCATTTCAGACTCAGGGTCCCTCGGCTGTAACGGAGGAAAGTGTAGAGTGGGTTCCATTTGTCAGGGACGATGAACCCAGTTTTCAGCAGATATAAAGATCACTGCTTTGCAACACACACATGCCAAAAAAAAAAAAAAGGGAAGCTGCTTTTAACCTGGGAAAGATTAGAAACCATCTGATGGAAAGGATCATAAGTTCATAACTCCTTCTGCTTGAACCTGGGAAAGGTCAGTCACTGTCTATCATGTGGCTACTGATGGAACAATCATAAGCTCCCCGGCTTGCACTTGCTCGTGGGAAGGACCAGTCGCTGTTGTGTGCCTACTTATGGAAAGGACAACCTCTCTGCTGTATGCCTGCTGGTGCAAAGCATCATTAACAATGTGCAGTGTACTTGCTGATGTGAAGGATCATTAACTCTCTTTTGCATGTCTTCTGATGGCTTGTTTGACAAATGGGGCTGTTGCCATGCTTGTTTCTATCTTGAAGCTTTATGTCAAGCTTCATCGTCTTCCCTGTGGTAGTGCATATAATGTGGGCGAAAGACGGCCTCCTGAGTCCTTGGAACCGGAGGCATGAGGACCGTATTCTAGGGACTTATGGGCTCATCGATAACTCGGGCTCGTTGGTTGTACATGTGACAGGCGGCTTGATGTCCCTAATAGGTAAGTCGGTGTTGAATGGTTGAACGTGTCATATGAAGAATGCGAGCAAGCTATATAAGCATGATCAGAGATAGCCAACTGTTTGTTTGTTTGTTTGTTTGTTTGTTCGTTTCTAATTTGCACCATTTCCTGATTTGTGGGTGCCATCCGTGTGCAAGGGCCATCCTAATCTTCTCGGTATTGCGCCAATTTTAGTGGATGTTGCAAAGGACAGAAACAGCCAAACTCTTTTTCTTTTTTTCTTTTTTCATACAACAGGTCCTTATGGCCCTGGCTCCATTTCCATTTTGGGGAGCATCAGTCCGGTTCCTATTCCACCGGCAAGTCAGAATAAAATATTACATCATGAAACACACTCACACTTCCTTCCGTTCGGCCGAAGGATCCCTGAACAGCATTGATTACTCCAGCATCGTGGAGGATTGACTGTCAGCTTGCCTTACTTCCTCCTTTTCTCTCAGGTCCACTGCATGAACCTGTGAGGTAAATGATAAAGAGCAAGAAAGGTAAAAGAAGCAACGGAAGATGCAATATCGGAATTCGCCCTTCAACATTATGTGACCTGTGATGGGTCTTGTCCTTCTGCTGGCTGGGATCTCTGCCTTCTCCACCCTGCATCCGAGTTGTGCCAGTCTTTCCACCGTATGCGAGAGTCACTGCCACTTTGCCCCTTGCAAGTGCAAGGAACATGAATGTGGACGAAGCACAGAAATCCAAATTGCAAAATCACACTGAAGTCCAAGTAGTCAAAGCAAGAGCAGATAGCACAATGGAACCGAGTAACCATCCATTTGAGAACGATACAGAAGAATCGTGAGTCAATGTCCAAGCCCAATCGGGCAACACCAACAGCATAACCCAATGTAGCTCTCTCTCTTGAATGGCGCCAGGCGCCCTACCTACTCTACAGCCTATCACTACAACTACAGCATGGAAGCAACCAGACAACTTGACGACCAGCGAGTGATGATGTCAACACCAATGCCGACCCCCTCTCCACCAGGTACGTCTCTCTCTTCACCCTCACTCTCCCTTGTTATCCCACACAGCGCCCTTCACCTCCGAAGAACCACCTTCGCCCTTCACCTCCTCTKCGCCCACAGGCAGCCCGGCTATGRCCGCCAGCGCCCTGCGCCCAGGCTGCGCTCTACCGCTTAGCGCCAGCCTGCCCTCACTCAGCCTAGCGCAGCGCAGGCACACTCGCAATGCAGCAGCGTGCCGGCCTTGYTYGCAATGGCCAAGATCCCTGCCCACTCGCCCTCTCTGCCTATATGCCAGTGTTGCGTGTGGG